TATATATATATAGATATATATATTATATATATATATATTATATATATATAGATATATGCATTGTATTTCCTTATCTCGAACTGTACGAAGAACGTAGGTAATCTAAGTATTTGTATACAAAAAAATGTGTCTTTTTGTTGATTTCTCTTTACCTAATATATATATATATTAATTATAATATCAATATTATACTGACACAGAAACATCTGTGTGCGCGTGCGTTTGTGACATCCATATCAATATCATATGGCAATAGCATAATATGTTACAGTTTCTGCATAAATTTCTGTGGTGACGTCTGTTTTTGTAGCGGTAGGCCTACATATCTTTCTGTGAGTTTGTGAACAGCGGCGTGCGTTCGACGAGGTTGTGTGTTGGAGATGGGCATTTGAACGGCATTTCCGTTAGTTATTAGTGAATAAAGAAGCAACGAAAACTTTGGAACTAACTACAATTCATGTTTATTTACAATCATTTTATTATTGAAATGATCCAAGTTCTTCTAATACATTCAAATTAATGTTAAAGGATGCCATTTCAGTGTTGATGGTAATCAATGATACAATCAATAGAAAATCAATAGAAAATAGTTAACATTATAAAGAAGGTTTGTTAATTTATGCGTAGCCGTTATGGCTTGGCTTTTATCGCCTGTCGTGAAGACTGTCTTCAGCGGTGAAAACAACGCACAAGAGCACGTGTATCAATACAGTGTATAATCATAGGTATAATCAATAATAATAGGCCTACGTGCTCTGAATGTAACCAGATCGTACCGGAAGTATTCTGGTCAACTAAGTGCTGCCGCCTGTCGGAGACGCCGCATCGCCCAATGTGATTGATTGTTACTGTTAGCGCGCGGAAGTCTGCGTGTTTTGTATATATCTATGGGCGCTGCAAGGAAACAGCGGTTCTGATTCTAATCGTTGTATTATGGATATTTAGCTCTTTGATCTACAACTAGAGCGTTCAGATTGTACGATACTGCATCTTTGTGAAAAGTCTCTCAAAGTTGGCTCATTTCTTATTCAAAGTGTGTCGTCGACGTATTTTCAGTGTTTGAGTATCAGTGTCAGTGACAGTGACTCGCTGACTGAGTGAGTTATGTTGGAAAATAAAGAGATTCATATAAGTGAAGATGAAGCGGCTTTGTATGATCGTCAGATACGCCTCTGGGGCCTAGATGCACAGAAAAGGTGGTTGAAACGTGAAGTTGTGTGCTAACCGAGTGACAATTGACTATTTTATTAATTTTATTTGTGTTTAATATTAGTATACTAATACTACTATTAGTATTACTATTAGTATTACTATTAGTAATGACTAATGCTGAGAGGGTCTATGTCCCCCAGGGTACTGCCGGAACTTACTCTGTGTACGGTGCGGTATACCGGAACGTACCCTAGTACTATCTAATATGCCGGACCGTACCTCGCCTACTCCACTAACGAGTCTAGGGAGTCGCCTACACCTACTCCCTAACCATAACCCTAACCCTAACTAGCTCTAGTACTATAGCCCGCGTTCGATAAACTGCCGCAGGGCTATATAGTACATTGTCGGCTGTAAATACCAACTACGACCTGTTACCACCTGTCCCCATAAAAAATGGATCGCAAAACGCAAAGTTATCGGGCTTTTTAACACTTATTTATCTACATGGACATCTCACCTATCTTTTTGAACACTTTCAACAACTTTACACCATGTATTTGTCCTTTGATTCCACAAAGTAAGCACTACTGGCATTTCATTTTGAAACGAAGTGGCGTGCGCACGCGTCACGTTACCGGATATGTACGCAAAACACATGGCAGCTATGGTGCATGTATTATTCACGGGGGTGATGGGGTGAACTCGCGCTGATGTTGCTTGGCAACGTGAGTAACTGCCACATCAGCGCGAGTTCACCCCATCACCCCCGTGAATAATACATGCATCATAGCTGCCATGTGTTTTGCGTACATATCCGGTAACGTGACGCGTGCGCAAGCCACTTCGTTTCAAAATGAAATGCCAGTAGTGCTTACTTTGTGGAATCAAAGGACAAATACATGATGTAAAGTTGTTGAAAGTGTTCAAAAAGATAGGTGAGATGTCCATGTAGATAAATAAGTGTTAAAAAGCCCGATAACTTTGCGTTTTGCGATCCATTTTTCATGGGGACAGGTGGTAACAGGTCGTAGTTGGTATTTACAGCCGACAATGTACTATAGCTCTGCGGCAGTTTATCGAACGTGGGCTATAGTACTAGAGCTAAACCCTAACCATATCAAATGGTTACCAGGGTACGTTCCGGTATACCGGACCGTACCCAGGGTACGTTCCGGCAGTACCCTGGGGGACATTGACCCTATGATGAGCATTAGTAATAGTAGACACTGGCGTAAAATAATAATAATAGGCCTACTTGTAATTATAACCGTGAGGGGTTGCGAACAGTGTTCGAAATTCACGTCGGTCCGCCGCTGACAGTTTCGATGCCGGGCCTACAGCTTCTTGATAAAACAGGCCCGCTGATCCTACAGCTATTTGATCACCGAAAATTCGAAACACTGAGAAACTGTTACCTGTAGAAATCCTTGCTTGCATATTAACTTCCAGGGATATTTATTTGAAAACTAATCCGTGATAAACCGTGACATACATGTAAACAATGCGTTCGCGCAGCCTGATTGTAAATGAAAGAGCAATAGCCTGGAACCCTGTTCCAAGCTGCGCACCACAGTGTAGTAAACTAAAGGGCAAGTTGCCAGTCGAGTGCGGAATTAGCTGCGACTCTTGGCAGCATTCGAAATTAGTGCTGAACCGGATGCCCGAGGCCACCAAGGTTTTTGCTTCGGCCACCACCTCTACGAAACTGCCGGTCCTCCTGACCCGCACTTTTCCCCCTCATTTTACGCTGAAATACTACGGTTATCGCAACGGCAGTTTAGACAGACTTGTAAATGGGAGCGCATTCTAATACGCTCCGTTCCTGAACGTAGACGGGGTATCCAAAACATCTTCCATTCATGATTCGCCACACGAACAAAACCTCGTGACAGTCTAAGAAATTGATTGCAGCATGTAGCGTAGCCCAGTGTTTTTATGACCGCATAAAAATAAGTTCATATGTCGCAGGGGTTATCGTGGGGAGTGAGGGCACGACCAGTGACACCTGACACGCACGTAATCAAAGCTGTTAATTGAATTCGTCACTTTTCTTTACGTAGAAAGTGTACTATTTTAAATCAGTTAGATATCTAGAAGCAATGTAAACTGTATATACTTCAAGATTCTAGGCACTTGTAACTTTGCGGATGTGCGGCAGCATTGATCTATGCATGGGGGTAGCCAGGACTGGGGAGGAGAAAAACGAAAGTAAAACCTTTCCCAGAAGCTCCTCCGACATTCCTAGCGCTTGAAATATATTATTTGACCAACTCTATGTTACATGTATGCTGTTAATGCCAATGGTTATTTTTATATATACCATTTTGTTACTCACTGCTAGTAAATAAGCGGACCACCAACTTTTGTGCAGGACCACAGACTTTCTAAAGTTGGTGGTCCTGCTGTCCACTAGATTTTCAGCCAAAATTCGAACCCTGGCTGTGAGTAACATGAAATCGTTTCTCATTGGTGGGTGACCGTTGGTCTGGCCTGAGCAAGTGTCTCAGATTTCGACCAATCGACATGACTGTATGATTGACACATGGTTAGACTGGTGTACGTATTCATGACGGCTCCACTCGCAATGTTATGAGACGCTACTACGTTGCTACCGATTTGTACCAGACTACCAGTCTGTCTCTCTGCTGTCAAAGTGGAGAGTCGTAGTTACCAAGGAGCTACATATAACATGCATATATAACAACAATGTGGCGTTTCCTTAATTGTGAGCCCCGGCAAAGAAGCATAAACTGTCATCCGACGAGAGGAAGGAAAAACAGAGGGATTATGATTATGGACATTGATAATGACTATTAAACACAAGGACGAACATGATATGCTGTTTTATTACTGTAATTTGCTCCAAAATTGGCGGGCCTACAGCTTTGCTGGCGGGCCTGCAGCTTTTAGGAGCTATAGGCCCTGTAGGCCTACAGCTTTTTCTGCTCAGTGGCAAACACTGGTTGCGAAGGTAACTACGTGTTCTTTAACCACACAGGGTAGTGACAGTGTGTTCACCTCCACACAGCCTACCTTAAGGCTTACCTAGTAGTAAATTGCGCCACCTCCACATTCCACCTACGCTGCATTTTCACACAATAACCCAGGCTTTCAGATTTGAAAAGTACAGGAGGACTACTAATGACTCCCCTAGGACACCATAATCACTTTAGTGATAGTCCATAGTGATAGACCATAGTCTTTTCACGCTCCATAATCACACCCTTAAGAGGCATGATGGAGAGCTCCACTAAAAAATCACACCCTTAAGAGGCATGATGGAGAGCTCCACTAAAAAATCACACCCTTAAGAGGCATGATGGAGGGCTCCACTAAAAATCACACCTTTAAAAGGGATGATGGAGAGCTCCTTGAGGGCTCTCCATCATGCCTCTTGGGGTGTGATGATGGAATCATGACCAAT